GTTTCAGTCAGTGTTGTTGGAATGAATATCTACATCATTGAAAGTCTCAATAACAAGATGTTCAATCTCAATGGATAAGGTAGAAGATGTTGTAATCTTGATGGCGGTATTAAAGGAAATAAAACAGAAGTTAAACTAGAAAACCTCATTCTCTAGTGCTTGTGCTCCTAGCACAAGAAGTTGAACTTTCCTTGGTAGTTTCTGTCCAAGCAACTTAAGCTTCTGAGAAGACTCTAGAGATTTCTAATTCCTTGGGAGAGTTGAAGACCTATACTTCTGGATCTGAGATTGAGCCTCTTGTGATCAAGAAAAATCAGGATGAGCTCAGAGATATCATGTCAAGACTGCCTCCGCAACCTTAGACCCTTTATTTTACCTTTTTTAAGAACTTAGATGTTTTTTTCCTACTGTTTTTAGAATTTGTACTTTATCTGATTCCATTCAATGAAGTTCTATTTTTGGTTATTTTATTCTAAATCTTTTTGATTTCTGACAAAGGGGGAGAAAGTGAGATAATTTATATATATATATATATATATATATATATATATATATATATATATATATATATATATATATATATATATATATATATATATATATATATATATATATATATATATATATATATATATATATATATATATATATATATATATATATATATATATATATATATATATATATATATATATATATATATATATATTTCTCATAACTGATCCCATACATGTTCTGATGTTTTTGCCTCTAACATTGTTTGACTTATCAGGAACTTTGAAAAAGTTCACTGAATTTTTCTAAACAGGCAAAGTTCTGAAATTCTCAAGTGATATCGTGTTTTGATATCCAGAAGTCATGGTAATCAAGTCATGTTAACCAAACCTTTACTTAAAGGAAATTCAACTAGACTCTATTAAACCATATTATGGTACATCAGTCATGGGTCTACCAGGTTCTGATTCACAGGTTCTGATACTTTAGCAAAACCAGGTTCTATTTGCTCTGATAACAAGCCAAGATGTGAGACGATCAACCAGGCAATTCTATTTAGACTAATGACGAACTAGGCATCTCTAGTCAGAATCTGATAGTGTTCTTAACCAAGAATTCTATTCAGACTTTGATAGTGTTCTAATCAGGAAAGTATTCCTTCCATGCTAATTAGGTATTTTATACTTCAAAATTATTTCATAAGTCTTGAACTCAGGGGGGGCCTCTGAACAAGTTGAGATAAGTTTTGAGAGTATAGTACTCAGGGGGAGCTGTTTAGCTAACTCTGAAATATGTTTTTTATGATTAAACCTGTAAAAATTATTCATCAAAATACATGGTTTTATCTTCATCAAAAAGGGGAAGATTGTAAGAACAAGATTTAGTTCTGCATCTGGCCTTTAGTTTTGATGATAACAATACATTGTTTGTTAGAGAACAATTTTGTACCCTAATGCTTTTATCTAGTGTGTAGATTTTGCTAACAGGTTTTGACTTTGATAGCATGGTGTGTGACATCAACAGTTTCTGGAATCAACACACTCTGACTTTGGAGAGAAACAAAGTACGTGTTATAAGACATTGTCAAGATCTGAAATACTTCTAAATAACAATTTTGAAGAACGTTAGTCTAGAGCTTCTGAATGTGACTCTGATGGAGAGCTTCAAAGGACTTCTCAAGCTCTAAAGACAAGGTTTTGATGAACAAGTTATGAATACTCTGAAGACAAGGTTATGAAGATTCTGCACTTTCAAGTTCTGAGGTTCTGAAGACTCTGAAGACAGGGTTCTGTTGAACAAGTTCTGAAGACTCTGAAGACAAGGTTCAAAAGACTCTGAATACAAGGTTTTGAAGAATCTCATTCTGGGTTTTGATCCTTCTAAGCATGCTTTATCAACATGCATTATGAAGCCTATGAAGATTAGAAGATAAGATCAAAAAGGTTTTACGTGAGTAAATAGTACATAGTACAAGATTAAATATGTTTTCCACTATACTGATTTTGTGGCGAAAGGATAGTACTATGATACAAGTTTGTCTACCACACTCACACTGAACATTATGCAAGAATACATATGGAATTTGGATTTCTCATTCTACGCTCCAACGGATCTTTCTTTGGCTATATAAAGAAAACTTGGAAATGAAAAATAACTCTTGAACTCTTGGAAAAATAACTCTGCACAAAATTATTTGATACATAATTCTTTTGTAAAAAGCTATAAAGGAAGGAACTTTTGTCCATTAACTTGCTAGAAACACTTTTGTGTTTATCATTGTATTTCAACTCGTGTGAATCTTATTTCTTAGAAGCATCTGGTAAACACGCCTTTTTGCATCTCAACTTTTGAATTGATTGTTCCTTGAGAGACTAGGGTATAGTTAGAATTTCTCAAGAAGACATTGTTGGGTAGTCTTTATGGATTGTAATCAGTTTGATTATAGTGGATTAATTCCTTATTGAGAAAAGAAAAATCACCTTGGCGGGTTAACCAGATTAACTTCGTTAACAGTGAATTAGGATAAAAATAATAATGTTCATTTATTTTTGTTCTTGTTTCATCTTTGCTTGTGTCGGGTAGAAAAAGTTTCAGATCTAGAAACTCAATTCAACCCCCCCCCCCTTCTTGTGTTTCTTGTACCATCAATTTTAAAAATATTTCAAAGAAAATAAACTTCAATTTAAATTTTATTTTAAATGACAGGCCGCATTTAGCATGAGGAAGCAACATTTTGATCAACCATTGGCCAATATCCTTTTTAGCCATTGATATATTATTATTTTATTTGAGTGGTTATGATTAATGATCAATAACTTATTACTAGATTTTATTTTTAAATATTTATTATTTTATATTAAATAATATAATAATAATTAATCAACATTATCTTTTTCTTTTTTAATATATGTGTTTTACATATTATATTTATTTTTGAAAATTATACATTTTATGTTGATCTTCCTCAATGAGTTTATCTTTAATAGTCTCATCTTAAAAGTTCATATTTGAAAAAACACAAAAGAAAAGTCAGATTTGGAAAAACACATTCTTTCAATATTCATTCATTTTCATCAATCTCCTTAAAAACCCAGATTTTAGAAGAAGAAAAAGTCATTTTTCAAAATCTTCATAAATTTTTTATTAAAAAATCATATATGAAAACATCACATGTTTTCTATGATTATATATCTTTATCACGATTTCTTCTTAAAAATCCATATATAAAAAATCATAGCAACAAGAAAATATATAGATCTAGACAATCACCACAACAATCAAATTCCAACTTTTTTAACTCTATACATGCAATTTTAGCAACAAAAAAAAAGCTTGTTAACAATGTTGAACATGTATAAACATATAGTAAGATAAATATCCTTTGGTTTAGGGTTTCAATAAAATGAACAAAAACTAGAGAATAAGGGTTACACCAGAGTATAAATAGTATATACCAAGAAATACCAAACTACCCTTACAAATATATAACAAAATAATATAATAATAATATTAATAATATGTAACATCTCTCCTCAAACTCAAGATGCATTAGTAGGAAGCATCGAGAGTTTGTCAATAAAAAACGAAAACGTTTAATGGAATGCGTCTTCGTAAAAAAATCAACAATTTGTAAAGCGGGGGAGTTAAATGGTAGAGTAATTGTCCCATGCTGAAGATGATAACGAGTGAAGTGACAATCAATCTCAATGTGTTTGGTACGTTCATGAAAAACTGAGTTGTGGGAAAATTGAGTGGCACTCTTGTTATCACAATATATGGGAGTTGGTTTAGAAAGAATGACACTCATATAGGAAAGTAACCAACGCAACCAAACTATTTCAGTAGTGGTGGATGCCATAACACGATACTCAACTTCTATAGAAGAGCGAGAGACAATATATTATTTCTTACTCTTCCAAGAAATAAGATAGTCTCCAAGAAAGATACAAAACCCTGTGGTAGAATTATGATTTGTGGGGTCTCCAGCACAATCAGCATTGTAATAATCATGTATCTTCAATAAGGACGACGGGGGAAAGATAAGGCTCTAAAATTGGATTCCCCGAAGATAACGACATATGCGAAGAACATATGGCCAATACACTATAGTAGGAGAGACAACAAACTGACTAACAACATAAACAACATAAACAATAACTGGTCTAGTAATTGTAAGGTACACCAGGCTGCCAACCAAAGTGAAATATAAGGTGGGATCTAGCAGAGGAACACCACCAGATGGAGCATATTTCACATTCAACTCAAGAGGACTATGTGCTACTCTAGTATCAGAAAGGCGAGTGTGTTTAAGAATGTTGGTAATATACTTGGATTAAGAGAGAAGAAAACCTCTAGGAGAAGAAACCCCAAAAGTATCTAAGAGTGCCTAAGTCCTTCATCTCAAACTATTTTGCTAACATTAATTTAAAATCATTAATTATATTTATATCATCACTTGTAATAATCATATCATCAACATATAATGAGAGTAAAATACGACCATGATAAGTGGTCTTGACAAACAAAGCAGAATCATGATCACTAGAGCTAAAGATAATAGATGTAATCACAATGGTGAACTTCTCAAACCAAGCTCGGGGAACTTGTTTCATACCATATAGTGATTTCTTTAACCTACAAACTTCGCCTTGATTATGAGAAACACCTTGTGGAGGTACCATATAAACTTCCTCTTGAAGATCAACATTTAGAAATGCATTTTTAACATCCATTTGAGAAATATGCCAATGACGCACATATGCAACTGCAATAAGAGTACGAATAGTAGTCATATTAGCAACATGAGCAAAATTTTCTTCATAGTCCATATATTTTTGAGAGAATCCCTTGGCAATAAGACATGCTTTATAACTCCCAGCTGACCCATCAGACTTAGTTTTGATCTTATATATCCAACGAGACACAATAACGCGTTTTCTAGGAGGAAGAGGTACTAATTCCCAAGCATTTGTTTTATGCAAAGAAGAAAGTTCTTCTATCATAGCCTACTGCCAAAGAGGGTCAAGAATATCCTCTTTATAGGAAGAAGGATTAGACAAACTGTGGATAAAGGTTAGAAAAAGAAGCCGAGTAAGTGGAATAGACAAAATCAGGCAATTGAGTAGACTTACATTCACAAGAGGGTTAATGAGGAGGCCGAGGATCAACAATTGCAGGAGGTTCTTGGGCAGTTGTGGGGTCAAGAGGGATGTTAGTATCTAGAGTTGTAGTAGTATTTGTCCTACAATTCTCAAAATTACAATCACTAGAAACATTATCATTATGACCAAAAGGATCAATATGGATGAGTTTTGAACTGCTAGTAATATGAGAATCAGAAGAAAGAGAGTAAAAAGGAATGTGTTTGAGGTAAACCACATGACAAGAGACATATAATTTCTTTGCACCAGGATCATAAAAATGATAACCCTTTTGACCATCCCCGTAACCAATAAAAACACATATAGTAGAACGAGAAGACAAATTACTATGTTCTACTTGTGGGCTGAGAACAAAAAAAGTAGAACCAAACACTTTCAAAGAGGAATAATCAGGGATAGAGTTATACAATCTTTCAAAGGGAGACAAACCTGATGTGATAGACAATGGGATTCTATTAATAACTTGAACATCAGTAAGAACTTATTCACCCTAAAATTCACTAGGAACCGAAGCAGATAACAAAAGGGAACAAGAAGTCTCAATTATGAAATGATGTTTCCTTTCACCAACTCCATTCTTTTGAGGATTATTAGTACAAGATGTTTGATTAATTGTACCATCAAAAGCAAGCAACTCAGAATTTATTAGAGGTATATTCACCACCTAAATCACAACGGACTCATTTTATAACAATATTATGTTTAGTCTTAACCATAGCATGAAACATACAGTAAATGTCAAAAAAATTAGAATGATTTTTCATAAGATAAACCCAACAATAATGAGTATAGTCATCAATAAACGAAACATAATATCTAGATCCATCCTTAGTAAGAAGCGGTGATGGATCTCATACATCTGAGTGAACTAAGTAAGCGATGCATATGAAATGGAAATACTTTTACTATATGGTAAAGTTGGAAATTTAGCAAAATTACAACCACAACAATCTGAAATATCATTCGTTTGTAACTTTCCTAAAGCTTCAGTAGACGTCAAATACTTTAATCTAGAAACAAATACATGTCTAAGACGGTAATGCCATAAAAAAAACTAAAATACGAAGAATTCAAACGAAAATAGGAAAATAAATCATGTGTAGAACTATAAGTTGAGGCTGCAGTATCTGGGACTCTCAACTCATCCAAAACATAAAGTCCCTTTTGTCTATGGCATATCCCAACCAGCCCCCTGGAATGAGGATCCTGCACACAATAAGAAGTGGAAGAAAACTTAACTGAGTAATCAGAATCACATAATTGACTAACAGAAGCAAGACTCAAAGTGAGGTTAGGAATATAATTAACATAAGAAACTGACAAATTAGTTGTGGACACAGAACCAATGTCTGCTAATGGCATATGAGTGCCATCATCAGTCTTAACTAACATAGATGGTGCATTATTCAAAGACAAAAATGATTTAGCATCATATGACATATGATGTGATGCTCTAGAGTCTAGAATCCACATGGAAGGAGATATACCTGACAAACAAGAAGAGTTCAAACCTTTAATAGAGGAGGCAGACATGGCACGTGACTGAGTGGCAAGAAGCTTTTGGAGCTTCTCTATAATATTAGATATTTGAGAAGTAGTCTTAGATGGATATACATGATCAGAACCAGAACCAATGATAGTAGGAGCAGCAGAAATAACATTGGATGATGGACTCCTGAAAGTTTTCTTATTTGCTTTCAACAATTTGGGATATTGTGCTTTCCAATGACCTTTCTCCTTGAAAAAAGCACATTCATCAATACCAAGCCCAACCCTACAATGAGATTTTCGTTTGTGAACTGGTGCAGCAAAAACAAATGGAGGAGTGGAGGGAACTCCTTTATCTGGAATCAAATTGGAGTGGGACTTGAGTCTAATTTCTTCTGCCAACAATTTATTAAAAACTAAATCAACACTAGGAAGAAGATTACGATGCATGATACCTCCATGAAGTCCCTCAAAGTCATTCCTAAGCGCCATCAGAAATTGAACCTAACGTTGCTCTTCTCTTTAATCAGTGTACAATTTGACAACTTTCAATTCAGTCAATTTCATAAGAGCCTATTGATCCCACAAACTACTCATAGCTGAATAGAATTCCTGAATGGTCATATTTGAGAGCTCTAATATTACTCTCCAGCTGATATCATTTTTCAAAATTAGATAGAGCATATTGTTAGTGCGTGAGGCACGTTTAGTGAGGAGAGAAAGAGAGAATAATAAAAGAAATAATGATCTGTATTATTAAATTGTATAAATAATGATACACACTATGACTATTTATATACAACCCTAATTAGATTTGGGCTAACACAATTTGGATTATATTTAAATATTAAATCTAATCAAATCTAATCTAATCTAATATTTTAACAAATCTAATTTAATATTTCAACACACCCCCATAATCCAAGTTGTCGAACATCCTCAAAAATAGTCAATCTGAACTATTCCTAATTTCTTTCTCAAATTCAGGAATATGTCGATCTTTAATCCTTTGGTGAAAATGGCAGTCAACTGTGCTTCACTTGAGCAATGCCAAACTTCAAGTTCACCTTGATTTACTTTTTCCCTCAAGAAGTGAAACCTTGCTTCAATATGTTTACTTCTTCCATGCAGAACTGATTCTTCGCCAGATTTATGGCTGACTTTTTATCGATTTGAAATACTAGAGGTTTCTTCACTTCGACAGTCATTTATTCAAGTACATATCTGATCCAAATTGCTTGACATGCATCATAGGATCCTGCTATATATTCAACTTCACATGATAACAATGCCACCACAGGTTGCTTCTTCGAACACCATGAGATTGGGGCACCAAATACTTGAAAGAAATATTCAGTTGTGCTTCTTCGATCTTCCTTATCTCCACATCAATCAACATCTGAAAAACAATTAACTATTGCTTCTTTGCCTTCATAATCTCTTCAAAATAGTATTCCACAATTTATTTAACCCTTCAAATATCTCAGGATTCTTCTTGCAGCCTTCATATGTGACACTCTTGGTTCACCCATATATCTGCTTACTAATCCCGACAGCGAAACCTATATCAGGTCGACTGTTGCACACATACCTCAGAGATCCCACAATTTGCTTGAACAAAGTTGCATCGACTTTGTCTTCCTCTCCATTCTTCTCCAACTTCACATTTGGTTCGACAAGTAAGGATGAAGGATTCGAATCATCCATTTTGAATCTCTTGAGTATCTCTTTGACATACTTTCTTTGATGTAGCACCATACCTTGCTTCGACATTTGAAATTCCATGCTTAGAAAATAAGATAATTTTCCTAGATCCAACATTTCAAATTCCTTCGTCATCAGCTCTTTGAACTTCAAAAAGTTTTCCAAACTATTTCCAGTTACTAGCAAGTCATTAACATACAAGCAGATGATTGTTATATCTTGTGCTATAACCTGAACATAGACACCATACTCTGATTTGCATTTGACAAATCCCAATTCGACTAAGTATGAGTCTGATGTACCCCAAAATTTGCCCTCCCATCTCTCAAAGATTTTTCTCACAAATTTCCACTAAGTCAAGGTTGCACAAAATTTGCTTCGATTGAGCACCTAACCTCCTTTGAGCTTGCTTCAAATTTCCAAGTTTCGATTGAAGCCTTGGCCTTTTGCTTGTTTGTTGTATACAAGCTTCGATTGGGCATCTGTTTCCTTTAAAACAACCTCCTTCAATTCAAAAGGGAAGGGCCTCTTGTTGGTGTCCTTTGATTCAGAAGTTAGTGGCTTCCTACTGGTTTCTTCGATTCAAAAGGTGTTGGCGATGGTCTTCTGCAGCTTTCCTTCGATTCAGAAGACAAGTGCCTTCTCTATGCTTGCCTTCAATTCACAAGGCAGGAACTTCCTTCATACCAGCAGGCACAAGGCAATGGCCTCTTGCATACATCTTTCGATTGCACCATTGGCTTTACATGCTTTCTTGATTCATAATGCAATGGTTACATGCATGCCTGCTTCGATTGAGCCAAGGTCTCTGCAGGTTTATCTTGATGACTACCTGCATACAAGCTTGATTCCTTCTTCGATTGGGAATTTGATTTCTTTGGAGCAAGCTTGATTCCTGCTTCGATTGGGAATTTTATTTCTTTGGAGAAAGCTTGATTCCTGCTTCGACTAGGCAAATACTCCTTTTGTGCGTGCCTTCAGCGCACAAAGCAAGAATCCCCTACAAGTTTGTTTCGATTCACCAGCAATGAACTCCTACATACCAGATTCGATTAGGCGCTGAGTATCCTTCGATCAAGCCTAGTTCACAAAGCTCTCACTGGGAAAAAGGCCCCTTCAGCTCGTCATCAACATACATATGTATTTTCATCCTTGTATTTGGTCTATTAGGCAAAGAGATTCTTCATGCTTCCCTTGGTTCCACAAGGCAAAGACCCATCAGCTTGCCTTTGATATACAAGGCAAAAGGCCCCTCTCACTGGTATTCGATTCACAAGGAAAAGGCCCACTCTTTAGCTTGCCTTCAGCACACAAGGCCAAGACTCCTTCAGATTTGTCTTTAATCCACCAGACAAAAAGCCTCCTTCGACCCACAAGGCATTGGCTGCCTTTGTGCCAGCTTCGCCTACACAATGGCCTCTTTTACGCTTACTTTGACCTGCCTCATGCTAGCATCCACAAGGAATGGGCTTCCTTTGTGACATCTTCGACTGGGAAATGGTCCCCTTTGAAACAATTGTACACACTTCAATATGCATGATAGCCCATTCGAAGGTGCATTCATGCGGTCCCTTCGAAGAAGCATTCATTAGTCCATTCGAAAGACCCATGATTATTGAAAATAAGTTTACTTTGTGATGGGTATTGGTCCTACATGTGGCCAGGCCCAGGCCTCTTGAGCAAGGGCACTCGAAGGTGGTGACAAAGAAGGTTTTTGATTGGCCATATTAGAGTTTTTGTTTGAGTTGTTTGAATCAAGAAGCTAGCTGAGTAGGGGCTCAATCGAAGAGGCCCCAATGATGAGACTTGAGCCATTCGAAGGACACACCTTGGTGGCCCATTCGAAGAGGGCATAAGGCATACATATGGACTATTCAAAAGACCCATTCGAAGTATATACAAGAGTCCAATCAAAGGGCAGGGACTGAAGGCATTCAAAATCCATTTATGTCCATATTCATTCAAATTCAAAAAAGAGACAAGAATTCCATACTTTTGGCCAAGTTTCAAATATTTGTTTATGGCTCTTAAAGAACATTATTGAGCATGCTTATTTCCCTCCTGCCTTGTCCCCCCCACCTTCTCTATATAAAGGTGGCATTTGAAAGCCTCAGAAATTAGGGACACAACCTAGAAAGAACCACGTGAAAACTGCCTCAAAGAACCATACAAAATTTCACAAAGAATCCAAAAGTTATCAAAACTCACAGCATACAATCTAGTTGCTCCCAGGCCAAACCAATCATCATATTGTCTTCCTGAAGGTTCCAGGGAGCCATCCATACTCCTAGCTTGCCCTCGAACGCCCCAAAACATCCCACATAGTGTAAGTTTTGGTAAGAATCAGATCTTTCATTCTATACAGTTTCAATGGATACTGACCTCTGGAATTAATTCATACACATTATTTGAGCATGATCAACGTGTTACATGCAAGATTTTATGCAGAAATTAGATTGCATCATTGTTAGGGCATAAGGAGTTGTTTGCTTCGTATCTATGAGCACAGATACACTCGAGCCAAACAGCCACCACC